GTTAAAGGTCTACTTAAGAAGTGTGGTTGTCCTTCCAGCAACAAGAGAAGTGGCCAACCTATTCCCCCCAAAGGAGGGTATCCCACAACCTGGGAAGGAGGGCAGCCACAGAAAAGGCTCTCTCTTGCCTCTCCAGCAAATGTGCCAGAGAGAGTGGTGGGACTTAGAGAAGGGCCTCCCCTGAAGATCTTAAAAACTGAGAAGATTCATATAGGGAGAAACAGTCCTTCAGATATGGTAGAGAACTTAACAAAATTCAGAAAGCCCACTGACCATTATCTTCATCTATCTGTGTATAAACGATACTGCCAGACACTTCCTTCAGTGTATTGCAAGTGCCAGGCAGAAACAATGAAGGATTGGGGGTGTTGTTGTTTAATCAATTCAGTTGTTCTCATCTTAGTCCAGGTCATCTGTCATCCCTGACCCATAAATAGATGATCCGCAGGGCAGACAAAAGTTCATCTGGTATGGTCACAACTGTTGAATAGTTTCTTTTTCTCTGCTTATTTATAACTTTTCCTTAAGACATTCAGATGTTTCAGCTACATTCCAATTTTTAACCTCAATAGCTACAGAACCTCTCAGACTTCCTCACCGCTTGTAGGCAGTCACAGATGTTCCTTCAGTCATTCTTGCCCTGGTTCTCTCTTCAATGACAAAAATAAAAGTCAACGATGTTCATTCACTTGCCAGGTTCATGAATAAATCAGTCTTTCCAATTTATTGTTACAGCCTTCACAAATCTAGGATGGAAAACTCTCACAGGTGTTATTAAATATGTTGGCAAACATAAAAATCAAGAGTTCATATGGGTCTTAATAAGAATTTCATATGGAAATAGTCCAATCTCAGGATGCAGCTCATTTTAGTTTAGGTCAATTTCAGTCCAATTTTAGTCTTCTCATATATTAATAATATCAATATGAGTGCTTATTGTCAGAGCATCTGCCTCTGATTTGTAGTGAATTAAAATTCAAGCATAGAGCAAAATCAAATCTAAGTATGTGTCAAAAGAACTATAGGTGAAACTATAACAGTACCATGTTTCCCCAAAAATAAGACAGGGTCTTATATTAATTTTGCTCCAAAAAACGTATTAGGGCTTATTTTCAGGGGTTGCTTTATTTTTTTCATGTGCAATCTACATTTATTCAAATACAGTCACGTCATCTTCTTCTGGTTGCTGCACAATGGTGGAGGGCAGACTTTCACTTAACTTGGACTTATTTTTGGAGTAGGGTTTATATTACAAGCATCCTGAGAAATCATACTAGGGCTTATTTTCAGGGAAACAGGGTAATTATAACAAAGTAATTTCTCTGAAATAAAATTTAAATGATGTCAATTGTAGAAAAAAAACTTTGATTGGAACCGGTGTCTAAATAATGCATTAAGTAAAACATTTTCTGTTCCTCTCCAACATTAGGAAACCCATGCTGGAATTTAGCTAAATTTTCCTGTAGAATAGAACAGGAAATAAACAACTACTTTAATGCCATCACCTCTTCAAACCTTACAACACACACATACTTTCTTCAACATACACATTTTTTCTTTCAACATACATAAATGTTTACATATTAGTGATCTCACAACCTTCAAAATTCAATTTTATCCCTTCATGCTCATAGTGTCATGATTTCTTCTTTTACCTAATACGGGTACTTCTCTGATTCCTCCTTAGCCTCTTCTATCCACTATACTGTATGCCCTTCTAAATCATTTCTCTCCATTCTTTAACATACCTGTATTTCATACATTTTAACAAATTGTAATTAAATTATGAACAATATATAAAAATGAAAAATGATAATAATCAGAATGCTTCTTAGGAATCAGGTATTATACAGTATGAACCTGTTTTTTAAATGAACTATCACAAAAACCAACGCCGTCCTCTACCCATTATACCATAGTGGGTACTTCACAAAGAAAACACAGAATACAAAATAAAGAAAAGAGGAAGTACTCATTTGTAGTAGACAGAACCCAGTTATGTGCTGCTTAATGCAAAAATATGTCGAGGACCTGCAGTTTCTGGCTCATAAATGTAATGAAACTAAAACTAAGGGAAATCCTATCCTGCAGCTGTGTCTAGAGATCAGGACCAAGACTCCGTCACACATTGGAATGACACAACCTATTGCTCAGCATAGTTCCAAAGGCGGCAAGAACTGAATCTGAACTTCCAGCTCATATGCTTATTGGTTCAGAGTTTTGCTAAGGGCTTTTATAGAAAGGCATAAATATTTAAAAGAAGGGGGGAAATGAGAGAACTTAAAAGATAGCGCAAATTACAAAAACAACATATATAACAATAGCAAAAATGTTCTCGGACATATAGCCTGGTCTCTTCCCCCTAAATTGTTTATCATTTGTATTAATAAATATTTCTATTAACACTCTTGAGTCATAAACATAATTTATTGGAGGTTCCCTTCCCTTTCAGCAGAGGTTCAGACAATCTCTTGCAATTTCACACATTCTCAGTATGTTTGGGTGCTGACTACATGCGGGATCCACTTCCCAGACTGACTTCAAATCACACTTACAATGTTCTATGCAGACCACAAAATAATTAGAGAAGTAATTAGACAGCAATCAGTCAGGTTTTCCATAGTCCCCCCCTCCCCCCGTAGCCTTCCCAAAGTCTAGAACTTTGCTTCCTTTGGCTCAATCTTTGATTCCTTTGGCTCAATCTATAGTCCCTGAAAAATTTCTCAGTTTAATCCTGCAGCCACCAAAACAACCCAAAACAATTCTGTCCCTTGGCTCAATCCTATTTTTTATGGGGGTTGATGGCTAACACTCACACAAACAAACCTAACCCACAGACACCAATCATCTAATAACGGCACAGCAAACTCCAAAATAAATAACATAAATGACATAAATAACAGTCATAAAACTTCCCCCTTATTTTGCAAGTAGGAAGAAAGCAAATGCAGGAATATTCATACATGCTCAGTGATCTAAATCTTAAAAACACAATCAGCTCTTCATGTCTAACCAAGCAATTGCCCCTTAGCCCATCAGCTTCTTGGGGATGCCTGGATGACTTAAAGGGAGGTTGTTCCCCCCAGTAGTTGCATACCTCACATACAAAATTGAAGGACAGTTGGCTAGCAAACTTCATCCTTCATCAACAATATTTGTTAAGGTGTGCTTTGCTTGCCTAAATTTCAGCTGGGGTCCTCTAGAACCCCCAATGCCCTAGTATCCCTAAGATGCAAAACAAGAAAATACAGGATCACCCAAACAAAAAAATCCCTACAGACAACCCAAAGAGCAATAGCAAGCTTAGTTAAATTTCAGTTCAGTTAAATTTACTTTACCTTGAAAATCAAAATTACCCCCAAAGCCTGTGAAGAATCAGCTAAATGTATTTATTTTTTTATTTATTTAATTTATATGCCGCCCACTCTACCCAGAGGTCTCTGGGCGGCTTACAATAATGTATGGTCCATTCAGAAGCAAACAATTGCTGGAAATCAAGAAGAAGCCACCCTGAGTAGACCTGGCCTACAGGGGCGGGGTATAAATCTAATTAAAGTTTTTTTAAAAAGTAAAAGAAGCCTTGTTTTACAAGGGACAAATTTCCAAGTGGCCCCAAAGGCCAATTCAGAGAGAAATACCGAAACTAAGCTTTTATTTTCACAGCAAGTACTGTGAATTCCCAGTCAATGCACCAGAACTGTTGGGGGGGGGGATCTTTAAAATAATAAACCACAATAAACCTCAAACAGCTGTTCTCCAAAGCAGGTAGAATTTTATTTCAGATGTGATCACAAATGCCTTAATGAACTCAAGTCCAATCTGGTCAAAGGCACCATCCCCAAAAATCACAGACTTTTTGTACCCCGCTGAGAACATATGTCAGTCACATACTTCATTTCATGTGTAAGATACCAAATTAAGTTACAATTCAGGACCTTCCAGTTTAAGTTGCAATACATTTTAGACAGTATATTGTGTTCTTTGAGGTTAACTTCTTATTTATTTCCTCTGTTTAACTTCTGTTGTAGTGATTAATTTATGTGGTTAAATTTTCAGACTGCTACAAAACAGTTTCCCAATAGCTTCTTGCTCTGAAGCTTTGCAAGCTAGGTCAAACTATACATCCCATGTGTCTGTTATTAATACATGCCTTGATTAATTTTAAAAAAGGAATTTCTAACATTTGCACAGATGGTGTTGTGGCTTCTTGGAACATGGTCTGGGCTTCCAGGAAGAAGAATTTATAAGAGATGAGTTGTACCACAGAGACTGGGAAGAAAGTATTTTCTAAGAGTCTTCCAAACTTGGACAGGAGGAGTTTAAACTGAATCCTGCTGGGGAAATAGTTTTTCAGAGACAGAGGAAACCAAGTACTGGGAACATGAGTGGCAATGAGGAACCACACACAGGGGCAATGTTACAAAAACCTGCCAGTGAACAGGGACAAAAAATAAGGGAACAGCTGATGAGATGGATCTATGGTTCCATATGTTTCTATATCAGTCCACAAAGCATGGGAAACCAACAAAATAAATTGAACTCTCAACGCAGAAAACCAAACATTATTTAAGACACATTACCCAAAACCCCGAGGTATGAGTCACATGATTAGAATGTAGTTATTTAAGCCTATAAATTATTCAAAAGGAATAGAGTAAAGGAAGGCAGAAAGAAGAGCATTATATATAAAAAGAGGTGTTCACCTCCAAGGAGATCTGTGACTTGGCGCATGGAATGTTGGTGGAGTGCCTTTGTGTGAAAATCAAAGGAGAAGGAAACAACTGTGAGATTCCTCTGGTAATCTGATACATATCCCCATTACACAACTAAGCACTGGCCAATACCCTCCTTGATCAGAAAACCAAACATTCAAAGAGGATAAATATAGTTATAATGGAAGACTTCAGCTTCCCTGAAATCTGTTGAAAATCCAAATCTGCCAAGAACGTAAAGAGCAACAAATTCATTATTCATATTGCTGACAACATTTTATTCCCTAGGACAGAAATAGTAACAAGGGAATCAACTATCCTTGACCTGATCCTCACTGCTAAAGAAGAATTGGTCGCTCAGGCAGGAGAAGGAGGAGCCTTGGATGGAAGAGGCCACTTCCTTTTGGAGTTCATTTTTCTGAGAAAAGGGAAATTTGAGGGAGGCATAATGACAAACTCTGAATTTAAGAACACTGTTCAATTAGCTCAAGAAAAGAGTGGGTGAGATCCTGTGGTAAAAAATATTCAAAAATAAGGTGAGATATTGAAAACTCTCTTCAGTCAATTAAGTCATTCTTATTTTTCTTCTTTTATTCTTGCCATCTTGGGACTCTTTGCTTTAAATTAACTGTTAAAATCGTAAATTTATATTATATTTTATATCATTTTGTTTTTTAATGTAAAACTATATTTTAAATTGTTTTTATCTTCTAAGTTGTGAGCCGCCCAGAGTAGACTACGTCTAGATGTGCGGCATATAAATGCAATAAAGAAAGAAAGAAAGAAAGAATTAAATAAAACACAATTACAAATACTTCATATGAAGTATTAAGAAACCGGAGTAGCTGCAAAAGGAGCTTTCAGGTGAGTTAAAATTTTAAAGGGGGCATCCATATGCTGTGGAAGAAGGAGAAAACCATCAAGCAAGAGCATAAACAAGTAGCCAGTATTTGTATGAAGAATGCCAGTAAGGCCAAAAATTAGAAAGAGCTTGGACTTGGAAGTGAAGTTTAAAAACGAAAGATGTTTTTTTCATCAGCTGTGCTTGAAACAAGAAAAAGAACAAAGAAGTGGTAGGTCTATTGTCCACAAATGGAAGACAGGGAGAGAGAAGAGTAGCCCAAATTCTACTTTGCCTCTCTGTCTTCTCCCAAAAGGAAAAGTATGTTCAACTTAGTGCAAGGAGAATACAGTTAGCAGTGAGGGAGTTGGCACCCAAGGCAAGAAAAGAGATGCTACAGGAATGTCTTGCTACTTTAAATGAATTCGATAATCTTTTTTAAAAAAGCATTACAAGCTTGGAAGATTAGGAGAACCTTAGGGACATAATATTACTTGGTTTCTCCATGCTTTTGACAGGGTCTTCATTATATTGTTGTGGCCAAGCTCAATAGATTTGCAGCTGGTCAATGGGCTATACCCAAAGAGTGCTTGTCAACTGTTCCTCTTCATCTTGCGGAGCACTGACAATAATCTTTTTTAAAAAAGCATTACAAGCTTGGAAGATTAGGAGAACCTTAGGGACATAATATTACTTGGTTTCTCCATGCTTTTGACAGGGTCTTCATTATATTGTTGTGGCCAAGCTCAATAGATTTGCAGCTGGTCAATGGGCTATACCCAAAGAGTGCTTGTCAATTGTTCCTCTTCATCCTGCGGAGCAGTGACAATTGAAGTGCCACCGTTCTCCCCCCCCCCAAGGCTCAATGTTGTTTAATATATTTACAGTATAAATATATGAAGGAGTAGCAGGGATTCCACATCAAATTTGAGGATGACACTGAATAGCTAATAGAAGGTAACATCAAGATTCAAGATGACCTTTAACAGAAAGGAGAACTAAGCTAAAACAAACAATGTGTTTCAGAGGGGAAAATATAAAGTTCTACATTTAGGCAGGAAAAATCTGATGCTCAAATAGAGGATAGATGACATGTGCTTGGTCATATGTGTGAAAAGAATTGGGGGAGTCTTAGCTGAAACAGGCGAAACATAAGTCTTCAATGTGATGTTGCAGGCCAAAAACATTTTTTAAAGTAATGCAATTCTAAGTTGCATCAAAAGAAACACAGTATCATGATCAAGGGAAGTAATATGGCCACTAGATTTGATTTTGGTCAGATCTCACCTGGAATATGGTATCGAGTTCTGGGCACCATAGTTTAAGAAGGAGATTGACAAGGTGGAATGTACCCAGAGGAAGGTGACAGAAAATGGTAACTTTTCAAAGAATTAGTCATATTAGTCTGTACAAGCATATCCAGATAAAAAAATTTAAAAAAACAAAGCAATAGAAAATGAAATGTTTGTGGCACCTTAAAGACTAACTGGTACAGTTCAATGTGAGCTCAACGAATTCTGCATCAAACAGCACATCAGATAGCAATAACACCTGAGATGTACAAGAAAGATGCACAGTTCAAGAGATGTTCCCTTGTTTGTTTGTTTATTTATTTCATAATATTGTGTTACTTTATTGTATAATTCCCTTGTTTTACTGTAAATTGTTATTATGTTATTATGCATACTGTATTGATGTATCATTATTTGTAACCACAATGAAAATAAAGGTTTGAAGGGTGGAAGAATATGTGAAGCATCAGGTCAATAGCATTAAATAGGACCAAACATATCAGTTCAGCTCCAGTAAACACATCCTTTATGCAGAAAACTCTAATTTCAATCAATGGAAGTTCCATGCCTGGAACCAAACCATAATGGCCTCAGCATTAGCACTCAATGAATCAGGCACTGCAACAGAGGGATACACTTAGGTATTGTCAAACCAATTTTAGTAAAGGCAACTAAGATCTTTAACTAAATGTGTATTTTTCCAAAACAAAGTGGTAGTAAAAGACAGATGACCTATGTCTGACGTGTTTCAAAGTAAATAATCATCTAAAATGCTAATACTGAAACAAAATCTATACAGTATAATAATACATAAACAAATCTGCACCACCCCAACCAGCACCCTGCAGCCGTAGAGCTTGGGTTCCTTGTTAATAAGGAATGGTGCTCCAGCTCAGTTTCTTTACTCATATCAGTTTTTACTGGGAGTTACAGCAGCAGTTGCCTCTGATTCCCCTTCCCCCCAGTCCTGTAGGATCGAACTACAATCTCTAAACTACTTGTTAACTTGGAAGCCCAGTTAGTTTCATTGGAATTCCTCCAAGGTCCAGATTCTGGAAGACAGAAAGGAGGAGAGAACGTAGGTCTAGAAAACAGCCCTTTTAGAGAAGGCTTGTATAAAAGAGCATAAGAATACAGTCTCTACAGCTTGTCTCTCCTGCTTCCTTCCCTCACTTGCCTCTCCAGAGCTGCTACTGCAGCATCTAGACTAACATAGTGTTGTCCAGGCATGGTGGCTGGAGTCTCTGGTGCCTGGCTCCTGTTGCAAGGCGTTAAACCCTATTAGAAGGTAAATAACTTCTGACATCCTCCCACATGCCCTCATCTTCCAAGCTAGGCAGTGATCCCTTGCGTTCCCAGCCCTGCTCTTTTATTCCTTTTGAACTTGTCTCCTCCAGCTCTCTCTCTCTCTCTCTCTCTCTCTCTCATCAGAACCTTTCTGCAGCTGCAGGGACTCCCTCCAACTAATCCTGAAGCAACTCACCCTCCTTCCAGCTGCCTGCTACCTGTGTGCTGAGGCCGGACAACTTGCTAGAGGTGTGCGCCTGAACACCCTCAACAGAGAATACCAGTGAAAGTCTTCATTTTAAAATAATAGACTAGAACTCAATTCTATTCTCAGAGTATATCCCATTTATATAATCCAAGTGATGAATGTTGCTGTGGAGTGTATGTGTTTTTTAGTCAAGTCAATAAAAATGTTGAGGCTTGCAAACATACAGTATAAGCTAGTTAAATGATTCAGAACAATAATGAAGAAAATTGAAAGATCAGACACTTTTGCTCAAAGTACCAAACTTCTTTCTTCTTAAGTAACTGTGATTCAATAAATGGAGTGGGTAAATATTAGCACGTTTCAAACTTGCTTTTCATAAACTTAGTGAGTAGGTGGCTGCTTTATAAGTAGCATTCTCAGTGCTGAATACTGCTTCCTGTTTAACAAATGTAAGTAATGAAATCTTCAAAGACATTATGAAAGCATATATTCCACATTAAAATACATCTGAAATATAACTTTCATGATGAGCAACCAATAAGAACAACAGAAGTATTAGAACATGCATTTAAACTCTATTCAGACTCTATTTGGTGCTAGCATTTATTTGGAGTAGCAAAGCATCCTTCATACTTCGTTGCATAAGCTACGTAACTGCAGTGCTGGATAGAATATATCTTAATTATATCAGAGAAAAAGGGAGATACAACAAAGCACAGATGCATGCCAAACTGATGTCTCTGAATGTGGCAAAAAGGTTACAACAATATTTTAATATTTTTATACAGCTTTCAGAAGCTGCCATCCTTATTTTTTTTTAACTTTGTGGTTCTGTTCATGTTGAGTCTGAGCAAATACTAAGTTAGGGAGAGCAACCTAATGTGCTTCATTCACTGTATTTTTATTTGGGCAATCATCTGATGGTTAGGAATAATCAGGAAAAAAGAGAGAGAGAAAGAAGAAGAAAAAGAATAATCAGAAAAGTTTCAACATTGTTGTTAAATTTTGTCCTTTGGAAGAGCCTTGTGGAGCAGTGGTTAAACTGCGTAAAGACTGCTCATGATATGAGTTCAATTCCAGTGGATTCAGGTAGCTCAAGGTTAGCTCAGCCTTCCATTCTTCTGTAAAATGTTGGCCGGTAAAATGAGTACCATATTTTTCTGTGTATAAGACTATACTTTTGTCTAAAATCCTTAGACTAAAAATTGAGGGTCGTCTTATACACGGAAGTAAGCTGAAGAGAGAACAAAAGTGGAGGGGAAAGCAGGGATCAAAGCGATCCTGCAGCACTTTGATCCCTTTCCCCCCTACACTTGCTAAGCCCCACTTAATTTCTTAATTTTGGATTAGAAAAGTGGAGGGCATCTTATATATGGAAAATATGGTACTCAGTTCCCTGGTGCGGGGGAATGTTTAGCCTGCATAGTTAAACTGTAAAACACCCAGATATTGCTTTAAAGTGCTGTGGGTGGTATATAAGTATACACTTTGCTTTGCTTCTTTTTTAAAAAAACAGTGTTTCACATGATTTCCAGATTACAGTTGCATGAGCTAGAGACTACTCCACTGAAGACAGAAGGGCTTTTGAATGAGAGAATCTTGAACAACGCCTTGTGAGTAGGCAGAGAAACAACGACAATGTCCACAAGAGACCAGTGTGAGCATGGTAAAAGCAAGAGGATCCAGTCATATCCTGGAAGGCATGGCAATAGAGTAAAATTTCTGCGTTCCTCAGCCCCCAATTGTTGAATTTGCAGCTCTCAATAACCTAGTCAGTATAACTGATGGAGAAGAATCATAGGAGTTGCAGTTCAGCACTATCTGCAGAGTCACAAGTTGCCCAACACTATTATAACAAGGGCAGGGGGAAAATAGTCACTGAGAACAATTTCATGCTTCCCGCATAAACCTCAGCAGTTCAGAAATAGTCACTGAGAACAATTTCATGCTTCTCAGCAGTTTAGAAAAATGACATGTAGTTGTGATTAGCTGCAGCAGTAAGTGGCTAAATGAAAATTCTTTGAAACTTACTTCAGTTGCAACAAAATTAAGAAATGAGTGGCTTTCTGTATGCTCCCAGCATTGTATTTTATCTTCACTGATACCATGCTTCTATTAACCTCCCACTTAGCTGAAATCCCCACTGGGCCTAATAGAATGGTATTAGTGTATGAAATAATACAAGTCATTAAAGCAGAGACTGGTTGTCACTTAGTTTTAATCCTTGTTCAATATATGTATCTCATAAGGGTGGCAGTGATAACTTGTTATCTTCCTAAGTGCATTAATTTAAAAGAGTTTTTTTTAAAGAAATCTATTAAACGTGTCAGCTAATTGTGTCAATTTATTTTCCCTAAAGACTATGATTAGTGAAGACCTTACTTAATTGCCACTGTAGGTATTTTCAATCTATTTCTCAAATATATTTGTCAAGTGTTTATTAATTAGGACTTACTGAACATATGACCTATAACAGAAACAGAAAATAAATGACTGTTCTCCATTATGTAGGGGTTGTTTCTGTTGAATTCCCGTAGATCTAGGAGTTCATATTCATCACAAGAACCATAATTTCAGATTTCTACTCAGACCAAATGTCTGTTCAGTACAAAAATATTATGTTGTATTAGGAACAGTATATTAAATCCCGAATCAAAAATCTCTGTCATTTTAATAGTTTAAATCACTTACAAATGCTGTTGCTGCAATATTCCTGTCCCTCCTTCGTGTTCCTTAGAACAATTATAAAAAATATTTTCCATTTGAATCTGATTTTTTCCTATATGCTGCTTTTCTTCCCATTGGGGAGACAAGGAAGCTCCATGGCACTCTTAAGAGGCTTACCTCTCAGTGAACACGCATAGAATAGTATGTGTAGCACTGTTAATACTGAGTTAGTATGATAGTATAAAGGTAGAAAACAGTTGTGATATTGTTTACCAGAAAGTAATCCTGGCATGGTCTAGACTAGAATACAGACACTGCTGTCTCACATGTACCAACCCTGTTGAATCCATATTTATTATGCAGAATGCTTCCCCGGTCGTTAAACAATGTAGCTTGTAATAATTAGAAGCCATGGGCTGAAAAATTACATCATATTGGCTCTCTTTTAAAATGCGTTTGTGCATATGTACATGCACACAGACCCACACACAAGGTCATACTTTCTTCTGTACATACTCCTGGAGCTCTACAGTCTGCCATTCCCAGACGTGTCTCAGGAACTACCCCTCATTATAAGGAAGACAAAATGTTAAATCTGGAAGTTGATCTAGGTTTTAATGCCTTCCATGCAGTCAGAATGTGTCTTCACGATGAAAAAACTCAGAAATACCCTGTAGAGATGTTGGAAGGATAGAAGAAGGACATTGTAACTCTACATCCCCAAAATAGGAGCTGGAAAATGATTTCATTGAAAGTGCTCCATTTTCTGTTGTTCAATGATAACGCTCAAGTGCCACAAACATCACTAACTCTTCAATACAAGTGAGATCAGTCTCCTCTCTTATGTGCTAGTGCTGCAGTACAAACCAACCAGTTTATTTAAGGTAAAGATTCTGACACCCTGTTCATTGAACTGAATGTTAACATGACACTTTGATCCTAAACTTTATTGACAACCCATCTTCCAGGAGACTTAATGTGCAGTGCGCGTGCGCACAGACACATTCTCTCTCACACACACACACACACAGAGAGAGAGAGAGAGAGAACAAAAATATAACTCTGTCTTAATTGTGACAATGTTAAGAGAGAGAGAGAGAGAGAGAAAACAAAAATATAACTCTCTCTTAATTGTGACAATGTTATTACAGGTTTTGGAAAACTATATTCCTTCATTAACATATTCCCTCTTCCCAAAATTCATAGTGGTTATTCTTTAACTGTGTTTATTAAATCATTTTATCAAATGTCAGCACACTTCAAAGGCAACAGCAGAATTAGTTCTCAAAATGAATAACATTTTAATGCATTTTTATATTTGTAAGGGACAGATGAAAAATCCTGTTGTTTTTGCGTGCATCTGTGTTTCCCTGAAATAAGTGTTGATATTGACCTCAATCACACTGAGAGCAATAAAACAGACATAACAATCTTTCTCCAGATCATTGATAAACTGAAACAGTGAACACTGTGAGCTAAAGAAAATGCATATCTTTTTTTACATTGGCTATGGCTAGTCATTTGGAAGATTGTTTATGTATATGCTTCTCCGTTGCTGTATCTAGGTACTTGTAGATAATGTACATACAGGATAAAATTATGCTCTCAAAGAGAGCTAAATGTTAATCTAGATCAAAACAAATCCAAATCTGCAGGAAATCTATCGCAATCTTAATTATGGAAATATGTCAATAATGTCAAATTATGGAAATATGTCAATATGGCAAACATTTTTATGTGATGTCCACATTTTTTCATATCACTTGAAGCCATTCATCTTCTCCTTCACCATATGATAATAGCAATTAACAACATGGCAAATAGTTGAAAATTTCCCAAAAGTCAACAGACATCAAGTTACAGCTTGATGCATAAAATTCATCAAGTCTAAGAGTTCATTAAACTCTTAGATTAAGAGTTTAAGAGTTCATTAAAATATTTGTAAAAGGTTAGAGAAGGGATTTTGTGCAAGACTATTCAGTACATCCTGAAATTTTCACTACATTATTTTAAGAAAATCATATAAAAGTAGATGTAAGTTTTACATAATTATTTATTTTGCTAATTGCTAATAAAAAAGAAAACTGGGAAGGAAATTGCTAATTTTCTAGATATACGACTAAACTCAAATTCATCTGATCTGGAGTAGAGCCAAAGAAATTAAGTTGCTTGTGACTAACAAGTCCCACTCATTTTAATTACCAAAATCCTGTTAGTTAACATAGTAAATTATGCTAGAAAAAGTCCAGTGAATCAATGGGGTTTTGGTGAGTCAGCATCTCCATAAGTTCCATTGATTTAAGTGGGCCTATTCTAACTGCAATTTAGTATGCTAAAGTAAGTTATTGTCAGAGTAAACCTAATAGAATCAATAGAGCCTACAGAGAAGTTGATTCATCAAATGCCCGTTGATTCAGTGGGCCCAGTCTAGTATGATTTATGATGCCAAGCAACAAGATTTTAGTCATTTACTTTAGGTAAATTTAACGTGGAGTGTAAATCCTATTCTACTACAAAAATCAGGGGAAAGGAGATCTTTCTTAAAGACTGGCATTCAACTTCATATCTTATTTTCTGTTTCTCAGGTTTCAAAATGTACAGTAGTTTAAAATGACAGTAACAATCTAGACTCTTTTCCCTGCTATTCCAACTGTAGTGCCTCAAAATACTTTCCCAATTTCCATCCAATATATCCTCCACTCCTCACCTTGCTAGATGATAAAGGGAAATACAAGTTTATTCAAAGTTATTTGATATGGTTGCAGTCCTACCCCATTAAAATCTATGTTTTGCCATTATGTTTATTCTGAGCAAAATTGCTGTTTAGAAAAACAAAGGTACAATCCCAGGTACGCACTCAGAAGTTACTTTCTACTGAAGTTACTTTCTCCTAAAGTAGAGTTTAGGAGGAATGCAGCCGAAAAAGCTTTATTATTTCATTGTCAAGTGTTTTGAATAAAACTGGTAAAAACAAAAACATTCCCATTACAAAACACTGCAATGCTGTTTGTAAATCTTCATTACTTTGATTTAGTGTATGATCTACAACTATTAGTAATAATTTAAAGTGGAGGACTGGGTGGATCTATAGCCAAAATATACCACAAGTTTTATGTAACAGACTCAGCAGCATTATGCAGCCACAAAAA